AATTCCAGCGAAAATAAAGTATTCTACAGTATTTTTGATTGAAGTTCACAAATAAACTGCATCTCTACCTTAAACAGCTGAGTGAGTGTAAGTAATGAATGAGTGTGAATGACGTGAATCATGTGGGATATGAATTCATGTAAGTAACTGGTTTGTGTTCCATGTGATTCAAGTAAACAAGTAAGTTCTGTGACAGCAAAAATGACTAACTCTTTGTTTGTGTCTGCAGGCTTCCATTTTCTTTCATAACCAGTGATGTAGCTGAAGCCACTTGCCATTGTTTGTTGGCACAAGCTGAAGAGGCTGAAAGAACAAACACATCGCATCGAGAAGCAGAACAAATGATATTGGAAGAATTTGGAAGATGTCTACTAGAAATTATAAACTCTGCTAGTAAAACAAAAGGTAATAATAATCCAATGCCTGGTATCACATTTGTTAGAAAAGTGAATGTACACTGAAAACAGCTATGTTCTAAATTCTCAGTACCTTGAATAGGAACACATACAACAATTTACTTTGCTTCATTGTTAAAAAAAAGAAAAAAATACATTGTATCAACAACAAAAAACGGCATTTCAGTCAATTAATGTGCAGGAAAATTTGAATAAAAATAAGTCATGTGCAGTACATTTAAATGAATAAATTATGTGAACAAAATTCACTACGTTCAATTACCCACCATAGACTCCGGTCAGTCAAAATGACTATTTTGAACTGTAGGCATTAATCAGCAATTCTGCCGGTGACGGAGAGATAGAATCTAGGTCAGGGGAAGCCCCATGACCTCAAGATTCTTTTACCCCTTACGTCACGAACCCACATGACCGAGGCCACATGGCAACGCCATAGGTAGCTGTCCATCACTCTTCAATTCTCTCCGCCTCGTCGGGGAATGATTCTGAGCGGCTCTGCCTGGCTTTGTTGCTTTTTCCTGTCCAGGTTTCTAGCGTGGGTCGTTGCCGCAGCCGCGGCATCCGACATTCTAGCTGGTAGGATAAGTTTTTCTTGTCTTTTTCCCCTCGTGTCGTTTTCCCCTTTGTGTGTTATGCTTTTCCACAACAAAGAAATCAAACCCGGCACCACTACGTAGTCACATGTTGATTTCATGGCGGCACCTTTTACAACTGTAATTCTTTTCCCTCATGCATGTC